CATACTAAATGTACTAGGATAGAGACACCAAAGCTGTACAATTTCACTCAAATTAGAGTCCATAGAGGATGAAAATTAAAGTTTCACCATGTACAAGGTTTAGTCTGTCATAATTTATCCTCTCTGAGTCCAATATCGAAAGTGTCAGGAGAGAAAATTAAAAATACAAATTGGAGAAAAATTGGAAAATACTAAAAGCAAATATTATCAATTCATCTTCAAAACATTTAATTGCAAAAATAAAACTTCTAAAGTTAAAAAGAATTAAAACCCTTCTACGAGGTTTAAACATGGTTGGTTCAACTTGAAATTCTAATCATGTGTCTCGACATTTGCGCCAGCGCAGAATTTGAACCCTTCATTGGCGGTTCAGTGATGCGGTTCAAATTCATCCTCTGTTAATTTTTATGATTCAGAAGTTAGGATTTTGCTGATTCAGCTGATTCAGATTTTATAAGAAATTTAAAATTATTAAACATTTTGCTTAATGGGACTCCAGGATAAAGTTTAATTTACGAGGAAAAGGTTTTTTAAAAATTATTTGTAATTATTTATTCAAATGTCAATTATTTAATCAAATGTTTAAATGGTGTAAACCATTCCTTTCAAAAATAATCGCTGCCGAATAAGATTTTGCAAACTCAATCTATCTTTTTTTGAAAATGGAAACTTTGCATACAATCTTAAATTAGTTTTAGTTCTTGGGAAAATATTTTAATCTTCTAGGAGCCGAAAACTTTTTATATACGGATAAAGCCGTTCTTTATACACATAGACAATGACGCATGCCTTGGCGCTATTTTGTGCATAATTAAGTAGGGCTGTGCAAGCTGTGCATAGGGTTGTTAATCGTTTTTGTAAACGATCGTTTTTTGTTTCTTTTTCAAAAACGATCGTTTTTGGAAAAAAATTACATGCAACTTTATGGAATGTCGTCTTACATGAAGTTTAACAGTTGTGGGGGAGTTAAAACTCCTTGACATTTTCTTAAAAACTACTCAATGATAAGTACAGATGCCCTTCAGGTCGGTTTCCTCTCTTTGTTAACGATCGTTAAGGAAGGGGTCGTCGTTAACGATCGTTAACGAAGGGTTGTCGTTAACAATCGTAAACGAAGGGTCGTCGTTAACGATCGTTAACGAAGGTTGTCGTTAACGATCGTTAACAAAGGGTTGTATTTAACGATCGTTAAGGAAGGTCCGTCGTTAACGATCGTTAACGAAGGGTCGTCGTTAACGATCGTTATCGAAACGACGAATTTTATAAAAACGAGCGTTTTGAAAAACGATCGTTTTAAAAACGACCATTTTTTAAAAACGATCGTTTCGTTTTTGATTTTTCGTTTTCGTTTTCATAACGAAACAATCGTTTTTCTGAAAAATGAAAACGTTAACATCCCTAGCTGTGCAAAGGGGAAATTCATATTGGAATTTTTAATCATCTGATAAACCGAGACTGAATTCATAGAATTTTTGAGCCTGGTCTACTGCCGATTCAAATTTGAACTACCGATGTAAATCCTTCCTTAATCTTTAACTTTGAATCAGGTGGTTCAAAGTTTAACCGGCAGAAGGTAGTTCAGCGACACAACTCAAATTATCTAAATTTGGTCTCTGATTGCTTTTAAAAGTAATCGTTTTAGAAACTGAGTTAATAGGTTGCTTAGCTTCATAGCTCAACTAAAAGTTTTCGGCTCGATCGGAAAATTTTAAATATGTGTCCAAAATTAGGTTAATCAAATTGTTCAAATTTTAATTTAATCTTCTCAAACTTCAACAAGAACTTATTAATACAGAGCTAGACGACTATTTTAAAGATATAACTTAAGGTGTTCCCAATGTTGTAGTGCCAGGCCTTCGGGAATATTTGAACCCCTTTCATAGTAAAAATTTTAACTTTTAACCATTGCGCTTCAAACTGCTTTTTTATTTGTAAGTCTTAAAACTAATTTATTGGGCTTTTCTCTTCATAAGCGAAAAATTCGAAAACGAAGCGAAATTTCGTGGAATATGCACTTGTATTCTCAAAATGTTATCTTTTTTGACGAATTTTAGCAAAATGTTGCATTTTTTGCGAAATTTTCAAATTTCTTATTTCGCAAAAATTTCGCGTTTTTTTGCGAAACAGATTGAAGCGAAATTGTCTGTTCATAAGTTAAAACAATAAATGTCAACCTTTTTTCCCGGCCAAAATTGTTCGACTTTGACGGCAGGAAAATTATCATTGGTATCTGTGTATTTCAAAAATTTGGACGTTTACTAATAGACGTCCAAGCATACAGACAAGCTAGATATTTATCATATCATAGCTAAAATTTAGACCGCACAGTGGCATTTTTTTCTAAAACACTTCATTCATTCATATTCACTTAACTACAGTGAAACCCTTAATAAAGAATACATCGAAAGAATTCATTAAATGTCGTATTCTTCACTTTCTGATAATGGAATGTTGCAGATATTTAGTTTTTTAATTAAATGAGTATATGGAACTCTATAAAACTGTTCCCGCATATTCATGGCTATTTATTTATTTTCGCAAATACTGAAATTTACGTAATATAGTATAAAACTCATTGAAACATTGTCAAGACGACATTTGATAAATTCTTCCGATATATTCATTATTAAGGGTTTCACTGTACAAAGTATAATATATTAGTACAAATAAGCAATCACAATTAACTATGCAGTTTGGACCCGCCTAACCAGGGTAGGTTGTTTTGAGTGATTGGCCCTAAGTTAGTTAACACTGAATATAATTGGTTACACACATCAAATTCTGTTTTTTTGGATAGGTAAGGAGTTGATTGGAAGGATAGAGATTGTCAGGTGATCTGTGGCAGTGTGTGAGGGATTAATGTAGAGATAAAGGAAAATACAGGGTGTTAAGGATGGTGGATATACAAACATAAATAAGCTATTAAAGTTTCAGTTTCTTAGCTTTTATATATAAATTTTACTCACACGAGGTTTTTCGTATTTAAACCTCTCATAATTCTCAAAATAAATATTGATTACTCTTTGCTTAAATATTTCTGCAGATTTAGTTTCTTTAAGGTCAATTTCAATTGCGTTCCACAATTTAGGAAATTAATATTGCGAACGGAAAGCTTTCTAGATTTTGTTTAAAACCCGTTCTAATTTATATGATTTTGTTCTATTCGGTTCAGCTAGAGACTTAAACAATTTTGGAAGGAAGAGGGATTACTTATCTTTTTCGTCCGCTTTAAAGATGAGAATAATTTTTGCACTTTTATACTGCTAGGGATGTATCCTGTTTTAAAAGAAAGATTGAATAGATGTGGTATAGGATAATCGATACTATCAATAATCTCCTTCACTTCACTTGATATCGATATCATTAATAATTAAAAGCTGTAGACTTTCCAGCGAACGAAACGTTTCGCAAAAAAATCCAAAAATTTTCGTTTTTCATTTTTTTGTGCTTAATCATTAAGTATTTATGAAGAAAACTGAAATCTTCAAAATTATAGTTTGCAAAGGTTTTTACTCAAATACTCTATGAAAAAGACAAAACATACCTTCCCTTCCTCTTCATCCACTTCCCCTTCCCTTCCCCCTTTACATTTTTTGTTAGTTTTCGTAATTTTGCTAACCATCCAATCAAGCTTCCAATAATTTTCCTTCAAGTAATTAATCGTTCATGTAATGTAAGAAATAACCTAACCTGATTAGGCATACTCTGTATTTCAAACCATCAGCTGACTTTTGTTGACATGGCTCAGTTGTTAGGTGTACCTGTGAACAAATTTCAGAAAGAGAATATTTGTCCTGTGATTGGTTAAAACTTAAACCTCTCATCTCATTGGTCCACACAGCAGAGAGAATTCATCACAGTACACTTTTCATTTTTACGTATTGTGAATTGTGATTTGTGATTTCTATCATTCTATGATTTGGCGAAACAGCAATTAAAAGAGATACATGACATAAGATACAAAACTAGAATTTTGCCTCTAAATGAATACTGCTCTTCTTCAATGTAAGTTAAAAGCTCGGCAGCGTAGGTCAGATAGTTTTGCCGGTTGGTTCAACAATTGCATGACATGATCGGAGTAAACCACAAGCTCTCCTCAGAAACATTTTCTTTCCTCACCACATTATTGCATTTATGTATATATTTCAGTTTTTAAACTTCACGTTTTTAAAAAAGGATTATACTAAACTGCAATGTCCTCGAAGAGAACGATTTTTGGAGCCCCACTTTTTTCAATTTTGTACATGACCTAGATTTAAACTATTTTCAACAAAAATATATCTATTTTGTGTTATTTCAGGGTTAGTTTAGGTTAGGACAATTTCTGTTCCGAGCGCTACGGCTAGGACAGGCTAGGGGGCCGAGAGCTGCGGCCAGGACAGACCTTAATTTAAAGAATTTCCAACAAAATTAGTATATATATTTAGGGGGTAGTATCTTAAAGAACGATTTTTANCTGTCCTAGCCGCGGCGCTCGGTCCCCTAGCCTGTTCTAGTCGCAGCGCTTGGCTCCTAGCCCATTCTAGCCGCAGCGCACGACCAAGAAATTGTCTTAACCTGAGCTAACCCTAAAATGATAAAAAAATATCGTATACTAGGACGGACCCCAAGATTAGGTTAGGTTAAGACACTTTCCTGGCCGAGCTCTGCGGCTAGGAGAGGCTAGGGGGCCGAGTGCCGCGGCTAGGACAGGCTAGGGGCCGGGCGCTGCGGCCACATGACCAACTTTATCATTGTGACAAATATGAGATGCATGTACAAAATTGATAGGAGGGGGGGGGGGGGGGGTTCAAAAATCGTTCTCTAGGAAAGTACCCAATGTTTCACGTCTCATGCCGATCTTCAGTAGTCAATATATTTATAGTTCAAACGAACAATTTTTCAAATGGACAATAGTTCACACAGCGGTAGTTTAAACAGGATAGCATCGGTTACGCACGTTTCAGAATTAATTGATTGTTGATGTACTTCTGAAAAACTTGTCAAGATTCAATTAAAATAATTAATTTTTTGTTTCAGATCTAAGATGATTTAATAAATAATATTAAAATATTTTATTCCACTGACCAGGCTTTTTTATAAAAGGAAATTAAAATGTTGCTACAAATTGGCTGAATTTGATCTGGTTTTAATTGATTGTTTTTTGGGGGTCTTGCGATACAAGAGAATTAGCAATACATGATCACAATTCTGCGCATTATTTTAAAAATTATTTAGTTAAGATTTTTAAAAAATAATTATTTATTCAAGAGCAACATTTTGATTTATCAGGCTCAAATTTAATAACTTTGATGCAATCGCACACAAGTGTTCATTGAAAGACGAAAATGCGTATTCGCAAAAAAGCCGCAATTCTTGGAACCAGTTTCCTTGTCGGAGGATTCCTTTTCATTTATTTACTATTGGAGGAACCACAGCCAAATCTTGATGGAGCTCCTCAGGTTCAGAAAGCAAGTTTTTTTTACATAATTTTCGATACTTTTTAACCTTAAAAATAATTAATTTTCCCTAATTTAGCGATTAAAAAGTTATAAACACTAAATAAGAATAGTTGTAAATCGGACATTACCCTCAAGTGATTGAAAGTTGAATAGAAAATACGCCAGTAGTCCCTTTAATAAAGTATTTATAACAATTGTTTAAAATACAGTTTTCTGTTTAACTTTGTTAACTACTCCACCACCCCTAAATTTTCCTTATTATTCGCCATACACTCATATAATAGTTTTTTTTTAGGCTGATTTTGGTAATCTGGAGCAGAAACTTAAAAATTTAGAGGAAATGGGACAATCTCGTCTACGGGGGGGGGGGGT